AAAAACTTTTTCAAATGTTAATAAATCTATGTCCTGGGTTAAATCCTACATCAATTTCATTAGACTTTGAATTAGCTGTTATAAATGCAGTGAAAAAACATTACCCAAATATTATTATTTATGGTTGTTTTTTTCATCTCACAAAAAATTTCAAAAAAAAAATTGGCGAATTGCATCTTATATCAAAATATAATAACGATGCAGATTTTTCTATTCATGTTAAAATGATAATTTCAATTGCATTTGTTTGCATCAACAATATTGACATGGCAATCGACGCATTAGATGCATATTTACCAGAAGAACTTCAGCCCTTGCTTGAATGGTTTGAAGATAATTATATCGGAAGATTAAATCGAAATGGACGTGGACGGAGACCTGCTAGATTTCCACCATCAATTTGGAATTTATACGAACGAGTTTTAAATGGTAAACACAGAACAAATAATCATGCAGAGGCTGCCAACCGTAGAATAAATGTTGAAATGGGAACGGTTCATCCTACAATATGGTCATTTATAACGTGCTTAAAAAAGATTCAAGCTGGAAGAGATACATATTTATTTCAATTGGAATCAGGAAGGAGTCCCTCTAAAAAGCTCAAAAAATACATTGACACAGACAAACGTCTATTAAAAATAGTTCAAGAAGCAGATACACGAGACATTTTAACATATTTAAGAGGTGTAGCACATAATATTTCTTTACAATAATAATGTTTTTTTAGTAAGTTTTTTGTATTTTTTTAAATTTTTTTAAAAATTTTTTAATCAACTGAATTTTTTTAAATCGAATAAATGATAACAAATAATTTTATTTTATTTATTTTTATTTTATACTATAAATAACCTGAGACATTTACGCCAAAACAGCTTCTCGTCAAAATGGCTTCATGCCAAAACGGCTATGCCAAAACGGCCACGACAAAACGGCCACGACAAAACGGCCACGCCAAAACGGCCACGCCAAAATGTCCTAGATCCCAATCAACCAGGTATGTATACAATTAAGCATAAAATTACCATTTTTTTTTTTTTGGTCAAAAACAAGGCATGTAATGAAGATGAAAAATTGTGGTTTTAATTTAAATTTCACATATTGATATTTGTTTTTTCTGATTTAATTTGTAAGAATATATCGATTTTATAATATTATGATTTTTAATTAAATTTTGAACATTATAACATTATTTTTCTTTTTTTTCGATTAAAAATATCAATTTTACATTTTTATGATTTTAATTTTGAAAACTTAAGTTTAATTTTGAAACCTGTATTTGTCGTTTGCACGGATGCGTAACTACAGGCCTAAGAAACCACATTTTTAGTTATTTTATTATTACACACATATGAACAACATTATAGTCCTCTCAGATATTATTAAATATTTTTAAATTTTAAAAAAATTGTAATTTATAAATCGATTTTTATATTTTAAAAATCATAATTCGATTTTTATTTATATTTTTTACAAATGATCGATTTCAATTTTTTTATTTCAATACAAATTTTGAATACCGTTAAGAGAAATATACGATATTTTTATAACTTTTGATTTCTTACATGATTTTTAATGATTTTTATCGATATTTAAAATCGATTTCAAGCCCTAGACTTAACATGTCGAGTCAAAAAAAAAAAAAAATAGTCCTTATTTTATTCATTAAAGTTTATTATTTTTTATTTTAGTTCAAAATTGTAAAAAAATTTGGACTAGTCTGAGAGATGGGTACAGAAGAGCTGCTAAAAAATCTATTACAGTGTCAGGACAAAAAACAAAATTTGTAAAAAAATTTAAATAATATACGGATGAAATGGAATTTTTAAAACCTCACATGAGGGAAAGGGATTCCATAAGTAGATAAATAAACATAGATGTGGTAACTGACGACGAAGATGACGTTCTATTTCATTCAAATGATGAGGAAATTCAAGTGGGAGGTGAGAATTCTGTCTCGTTTGAAAATGCAGTACAAAACGTAGAAACATCATTTAGTACACCCGCTCCAGTGCAACCACGACAAAAAAATTTTAAAAAACGAGCTCATTGAAACCACCCGAAACTGCATCATCCACTCTCGTGAAATATATCATTGAACAAAAAAATTCTGAACAATCATACCCAACAACAAGCAAGTTAGATGCTATGAACCAATTTTTTTTGTCAATGTGTTCGACGGTCAAACAGTTCTCACCGTACTTTCAACACATTGCAAAAACTAAAATTTTTCATATTGTATCAGAACTAGAGTTAGAACAAGTGAGACAAAATCAACCACAAACACAATCGACTATTTCTAATCAGGACTCATTACAACATCCATCACAAGTAAAAACACAAACCGTTCCTACCTTACTTCAATTAAATCATTTGCCAAGTTTTCAACACCCTCGACCACAAACCACAAATCACACAGAAAATCCTGATCATTCAAATATCACCGACAGTGCAAATCCAAGTCAGTTCAATATGTTCGATTATCCTACAAATGGTAATTATTACTACCCAAAGTAATTATTACTACCCAGTGATTAGATTAGTATGTAACTTTTCTTTATTATCTTCTTACAATTTTGAATTATTTTGCAGTTATATTATTTATTTTTAATTAAAAGAAAAAAATCTAAATATTTTTTTAAAAAAAATGAATTTCCAATGAAAATATTTAAGGTGGAAAAATGAATTTAAATTATTTAATAGAAAGTGTATAAGGTTATACCTAACTAATAGTTTCCATTATCTTAATTAATTTTTTTAATAGGTATGTATTAAGTTTGCTAGTATTTAAGTTGACAAAAAGACAATTTTTTTAATTTTGATTTATTTTATTAAATAAAAATATTCTTTATATTCAGTATCAAATTATTTCTACAATACTTTATTTACTATAATAACTTTGTATAATTTGAAAATGATTTTACCTGTTTTTTTTTATTAAATTTGAATTAGCTATGCTATAGGTACCCTATTGGTACCTGATTTTAAATTATCACTTATATTTAAATAAATTTACAAAGTTAAAAGATTTTTTTTGGTTTTAGTTCATTTGTTACCTACATTAAAACCTTTTACATTCTAGGCTGAGTGATAAATGTATTTATTTTACAGTGAAGTGTTTTTTTTTGTAACTGATGACGCTTTTTATATCAGGAAAAAGTGCTTCAATCCTCAACTTAAATATATTTTCTGGTGGGAATATAAATCTATTTGGTATGTGGTCGAAACTAAAAAATGAACAATATCTTTCTTAATAATTGGGAAAACAAAAAATAAATAATGAACAACTGGAATACGCAAAACCAAAATCGATTTTTTTATTTTGTTTAAAAATTTAATTTCTCATTAACTTAATTATACATACATAAATAAAAAAAAATTTTAATATTCTTTAATATTTTTTCTACGGTGCTTGCCGGTTCTATGTTCACACTGCACCGGAACTGAACGTACCGTCACGTTACAGCACGATACGGACAGTCAAAACATTCTTTCGGATGATAGTCGGTCGGTCCGGTCCGTGCTGTAACGTGACGGTGCGGTGTCGTCTGTAATAATATGTTTATTACTTGGAAAGTAGATGGATGCGAGATATAAAACTACGAATTATAGTGCATATGAAAGGATTCTGGACCATTAGTTGTTCTGGCTTCTTCTGATGGTTTATCTGCCCATAAAGTTGGTGAAAATTATGCATCGGTTTCTACATAGTTTTTAAGTAAATAATCGCCAAATCCAAAATTAGACGCAGGAGCAAAGATAAACATTACATTAAATGTAAGAAAGCATTTTCTACTAAATTGGCTGGTAGAAATCCTAATGCAAAAAATTTTTTAGCCAAACACCCAATACCGAACTTGATTTATACTCATTTAATAGCTGACTCTTTTTGAATATGTCTAAACCAACTTTGATTTATATGAAACCTTCATGCCATAATTCTGCAGTTCGGGAAAATTTCTTTGACAGCGCATGTGCACTTTTTTCAAAATCGAAATGAAAAGTTGATTGAGTCAATGATAGTTGTATATTTATACCAGTCAATTTCAAACACAATTTTACAATTGAATGCCACGTATCAATATATATTTGAGTTGATTTTGAAGTCAAAAAACAAAACACTATAGGTATATAAAAATCATTTTTCAGTGTAATATGAATAGTATAAAGTTGTTCATAATACTTGGGGGAATGTGAAAACGTCCCATCGGCGAATATATGAGAACATTGACTTAATATTTCAAAATTAGTAGCACAAGTAAACATTACCGGACTTGAAATTGCTTCTATATGGCAAAATAACTCACCAGTATTACTTATTATATTTTCGCGTTCATAAAATATTTGAACTTTTGATTCTTCAAAACTTTTTTTTCTGTTTGGAATTTTTTTCGAATTTTTAGATCCATTTTAATAATTGACACACTATTTGACACTATACACGTTACACTACATACGTTCACTCTTTACGCGGTACAAATTGCGAATGAAACATAAATACCAACATCCAACACCAAGGCCGTATCTAGAAATTTTTTTTTTTTTTTGGGGGGGGGGG